GACCTGAGCCGAAGGCAGACGCTTAACCAACTGAGCCACCCAGGCGCCCTAGGTGCCTCCTTTTAAAGGACACTCAGGATCAAGGATAGTGTCTTCTTTGATCCCTAAAACTTGTTTCCAGTGAGTAGAGGTTACATATAGTCTCATAATTTATCTCAAAATATTCCAGTGTTTTGCCAATTTCTATAAAAGCAGGGAATGCAATAAAACTTTGCTAAATTTATTACTAGCTTATTTGTTAAAAGAAAAAGACAAAACTATACCTTTGGCCACAGAACTTCCAGGTTTTTTTTTCTGTGTGAAGCAATTTATACCACATCATTGTCAATTAATTTTTATTTTATGAGCTCACAGCTCCAAGCAATTATACATCAAAGGCATTCTCTGTATTTAGTAGAGGCCTGATAAATGGGTCTACACATAAGAATTGCCTTGGGACTTGCTGTCTGTAGTTGTAGTAAGAATGAATTTATCATCTCATTAGTATCTGACAAGGTCAGACACACAGGGGTTTAAAACACACACTGCTGGAATTAAATAATATTTAATAAAAATTAATTGCAAGGGGGCACCTGGGTGGCTCAGTTGGTTAAGCGACTGCCTTCGGCTCAGGTCAGGATCCTGGAGTCCCTGGATCAAGTTCCGCATCGGGCTCCCTGCTCAGCAGGGAGTCTGCTTCGTCCTCTGACCCTATCCCCTCTCATGTGTTCTCTCTCTCTCATTCTCTCTCTCTCAAATAAATAAATAAAATCTTAAAAAAAAAATTAATTGCAAAGGATAACATTTGATTTTCAAAAATAACCCTTAAAAAGGGGGTATGTGACATGGACACAGGGACCAACCCACAAAAGCTTCCAATGTCCAAAGCTGGAACAATTTGAGCAACAAAACTAACATAGTATTGAATTGTTATTCAAAGTGTAATAAATATGCATGAGTCCAACTGATATAAATAAATAACTGAATGAATAAGTAAATGAGGGAGAAGAGACAAATCTCACAGAATTCCATATTATATATGTAGATATTCTCTCCTCAGGAGGCAGGCTTAATTCCCCTCCCTCATGGACTGGACTTAATAACCCACTTCCAAAGAACAGAGAATGGAAAGGGAAAAATAGTAACTTTACAATGGAAAACATTGGCAGACATGACCTTCACCAGGTGATCAAGGTTAAGGTCAAGCCCTTCATCAAGGGCTACTTTGGTAATGTAAGGCAAATCATGGGAATGAGAAGGTACATCTTTATATTACTGTGATGTAACAGTTTTATCCTTCTCTCCTTAGACCTAATTTTGACACGTTGGAAGTCAGCGTCTCCAAAAGCTTCTTCTTGGAGTAGCTAAACATTTATTTTTTATTTATTTATTTTTTTAAAAGATTTATTTATTTATTTATTTGAAAGAGAGAGAATGAGAGAGAGCACATGAGAGGGGGGAGGGTCAGAGGGAGAAGCAGACTCCCCGCTGAGCAGGGAGCCCGATGCGGGACTCGATCCCGGGACTCGATCCCGGGACTCCAGGATCATGACCTGAGCCGAAGGCAGTCGCTTTAACCAACTGAGCCACCCAGGCGCCCCGAGTAGCTAAACATTTAGATAAGATTAATGAATGTTACATTAATACAGTGGTCTCCACTGTAGGACTTCCTCCCTCCCTCTGCACCCCCATATTTGGCAGTGTGTGTGTGTGTGTGTGGGGGGGGTGCTACTGATATTTAGAGGGTAGAGACCAGGGATGCTGCTAAACATCCTACAGTGACTACCACAACAAGAAATTATCTGGCACCAAGTATCAGTAGCTCTGAGACTGAGAACCCTGAACTAATTATAAATATACACCTAATAGATGTTTATTGGGACACTACCCCTTATACCAGGATACGTTTTCCAGATGATACAGAGAGGACATGGTTTCTGTCTTTTCTGGAAGCTTAAAATCATGTCTGCAATTAGAAAACAGGTGGAATCCTTTAGCACTGTATATGACATTTTCTATATAAAGGCCACACTTTCATGCAAACAAGAACCAGAATGAATAGTCCAGATAAGTGTTCCAGGTTGTCTAGAAAGGTCAAGAGTTGTCTAGAATGGCTCTGTGTAAGAGTTGGGACTTTAAATGGGGTTTGGCAAACCCACAGACCTTAAATACAGTGAGTAGGAAAGAGGAAGATGGAAAGAACCATAATATTTTAGAGGTAGCAGGGATATTCTAGGAATGAAACATGATTTGAAGTCACAAAGACCGTAGGTACACTCTTCTTTCAGATGCTACTTAGAGAGTGGGTCATAGTTCTTTCACACAAACCGAGAAGAGGTTTCAGTGTCGGGGATGGGTGCATCATCAGAATCCAGGTGAAGAGAATGGATCGAAAAACTCCTTAGATGATTGATTTTGATGTGCACCTCCCCCATCTCACCTTCCGAGAACCTCCACTTTCACAGATTGTCACTTATCCGAGGATATAGGCTGTCACAGATGTGTATAGGCTAATACTCTTTTCCTTCTGCTCATATCATTCCTCACTGATTACTTTTTCCTCTTTTTGCCCTGTGTGCCCCACCCCCATTTTTAAAATATATGATAATCAATAACTGTAGATTGTACCGTTGTTAATGGATCATTATTACTTATCTTAATGATGATAGCAGCACCTTCAAAGGTCTTTGGAAGTAGATATTGCGGATTCCACTGGTTGAAAAGAAACAAAGAATTCTTGCCAGACTCTTGCTGACGAGGTGATTTAGAACACTTTAAACAATGCATCTGACCAGTAGATGGCGCTCTCCTCCCTTTGTGTGAACGAGTTATGAATGAATAAGCTCTCCCTTTGCCCTCCCCTCCCCCAAGCGCTGTTGTAGTGAAAACCAATCCGTCCTCAAGTCCTCACCGAATCTTTAAAATTCATCGTCTTTTCTTCCGGGGCAGTCTAATTAAGACCGTCCCCATCTGTCTCCTATAGTATTCTAATAATATAATAACCTCCTGCTTCTGGTATCCTTCTGTCCTATCCCATCCAACACACTGCCATCAGAAATCACTTTTCCAAAACCAGATTGCTGAAAAATGGTGTCACAGGGGATGGAGTGGGGGAGGGATTCTCTGTGAAGGCAATGGCGGGAGCAGAAGGGTCAAGGTAAAGTGCACGCCTTCTCTCGCCAACAGATTTGTCTCACCTGGCTGCAGGAGGGTGGGGAGGAAAGGTAACTGACTAGCAGGGGAAAGGTAGATTGAGAGTCTTGATCTCCCTGCCAAGGGATTTTAATTGGCTCAGTAGGCCACAGAGAATCAGTGAGAGGTTTGGAAGGTGGCAGGATTAGAGCTGTGCTTGAACAAGATTAATGTGACCAGGCATGCGGATGGCCTGAATGAAAAGGAAGTTCAGGCAGCTTGGCAGAGTCAAGAGAGAAGCACATAGGGCGTGATTTGCAGTCTGGGAAATGCAGAGAGGTAGTTCCTCAACCATAATATTAACTTCAGTAAACACAGTTACAGCATCAACGTCAGGAAATGTCTAGGAAGCTAGGAATATGTCCACACACTCTGATGGCCTGTGTGGCTTAGCCAGCACATTGCCTAGCTGCGTTTGGGAAGACGATTAGGTGCCAGAAAGCGAAACCACTACACTTGTTTTCAAGTAAGAAGTAGGGGGAAAAGAAGGAAAAACAGCTTGAGCTGCTTTCCGTATCACAGGCTTTCAATGTGTTATTATTCACCACTACAGTGTCAGATTTAGATTTTCCACCTCGAGGAATTCGGTTTAGCTTTAATTAGTTGCTGTGAATATTTCTGAGCCAACTCTGGGAAGCATTTATCTAGAGAATAGTTTTCCCTAAAATATAAGCTGGATATAGGGTGTTGTTTTTCTATGAGGCTTTGTATCATATTCACACAGTTATAAATTCTCTCCAGCCATCTGGGTGTTTTTCGCCACAGCCCACCATAGTTACACTGGTTATTTATTTATTAATCATAATTTTAAATACTGTAATATCGAGACCATCTGCAGCACCATCCGAGCTCTGTGAGGAGCTGCAGGGCGGTAGAGCACACGTATTTTTCTGAGAAAAGATGATGCTTGCAGGTTATTCTGCATAGAGGCAAACGATGCATTTTTCATCCAGCAACTTCTCAGAAAAACAAGCTTAAAAATACCAGACAAATGAAAAACAGACTTCAGCAGTTACATGCAGCTTCCTGAGTAACTGAAGAATGTGCCTCTTGTGGTTAAAATGAGGGAGCTGTTTAATATGGATGAAGTACCACCACTCCAGGCATTTTCATTGACATTTCGCTGTGACTTTTTGAACTTAGGAGTGCTGACAGGAAAACGTACTCTTGCTGCCCCGAGAAGCCTGCGGTCGGAGAGCAGAGCAGGCCAGGAGAGGTGAAAAGGCTACGTCCGCCTCCCGTTCCCTCTGGTCGGGTGCTTCATTTTCTTCCACGCTGTGGCACCTCCCAGTTATCCAGGATTCCCTCTCCGAAACCAGTCAGGAAGCCAGGCAAGAGTTGGGTCTCATGCTCCCAAAGCCCATCGCCACTCCAGCGCTGGGCTTGCTCACCGGACCAAAGGGAAGACACTCGGGGTGGGCGTTTGTAAAGAGCTTCTCCAAAGGTCAAGAAACACTTCTGCACCTGGAAACCAGAAGCTAGCCGGGCGGGGGGTGGGGTGGGATGGGGTGGGGGGCGGGCAGAGCACCCCTGGCACCCAGGGAACATCTTGAGAACAGGTTCAAAGGGTAAAGGAGCCAGGGAAGAAGCTCCCTTTGCCGATCCTCCCCAGCGCCGGCCGGGCTCGGCTCCGGGGCAGCCCTGCCGTCTGGCAGGAGCCGCGGAGAGACATGCTGTTTTGTTTAAATCCTCCACATTCTTTGCCATTTCCCCATTGGCCGGATGGGGCTACCCTCCCCACCGCGGCCGCTGCTGATGTCAGCCTCGCTGGCGCTCGCTCCTCCCGCACCCACCTCCCGGGCCCGAGGCACACTGCAGCTCGGCGCGGACTCTCCGGCCCCGGCGCGGTGGCTGCGAACTCGCGGGCACGCACGGCGCTCGGGGAGCCGAGGGACTCGGGGGAGGGGACGTGCGCGGAAGGCGCCAGCTTCCTCTCGCCCGCCCCTCGCCGCCGCGAGCCCAGGTTGGAGGAACCCCGGGCCCCAGTCCGACAGAGCCGAGCGGCGGCGGCTTCCTTTTTCTCCCGCTGCGAGCCCTGGAGTGCCTCGGGGACGGGCCCTAAAAAGAGCAGGAAATCTTGTTTACCGCCCGGGGAGAGGAGCCGATCGAGCCTTTGTCTGGAAAAGTCAGCATCCCCAGCACCGGCTGCAATGTGTTCCTGGTGACATTAGCATTGGCAGACCCGCCGGGGAAGGGGGGTCACCAGGTTCATGTCTGCTTTCGGAGGCGGATCGAGCGGGTGACTTTTGTGCATTCGTTTTAATTTTCGGAAATCTCTCTTTTTTCCTCCCTTGCCCGCCACCGGGCATGTCCTGATCCGGCGGCCGCTCCTACCGCCCGGGGCTGCCGATCTGAGCGGTTTCCAGCGGGTCTCCCTCCCTCTCTCCCTGATCCCTCCCTGATCCCTCCCTGACTTTGCAACACCGCGTTCCGGGAGGACCGACCTCGGCGAGAAAGAAGGCGGCGGAGCCCCGAACACCCGGACCCGAACCTTGACATGCTCTCCGGCGGAGAGGAGGAAGCTAGGAGCTGAGCGCACCGCCGGGGCTGCTTCGCCGGCCGGCTCCGAGCGCAGGGCTCCGGGCGCCCTATCCTGCGCCTGGGCGGCAGCTTTGTTGGTTTAGGGGGCGCCCCCCCCCGCTTCCCGCCTCGGGGGCGCGCGGCCGGCAGGACCATGCTGCTGAAGGAGTACCGGATCTGCATGCCGCTCACCGTGGACGAGGTAAGCGCCGCGCGGCACCGGGCCCGGCCTCTCCCGCTCCCGTCCCCCACCCCCGCCCCAGGGCGCCGCGTTACCCCGCTGCCGCCTCCCGGTCGGCGGGTCTTGTGCGGGCGGTCAGGGAAACCCTGCTGGAGCATTACCTCCCAAGAAGGCTGGAGGGGAGGAGGAAGGGGAGTTGCTGTTTCCACTTGTCACCCCAGCGGGGGAGGGCGGCGTTGGGTGGGGCGGTAGACTCTAGGGGGAGTCTTGGGGGGCACCCAGAATCCTGATTGTTGGGGATCCGGATGCACCAGAGGGAATTGGTGCACCCCTCCCTCCAATTAATAAAATGAATAAAGCAAACCCAAGCGCCCCAAGCGCGTCCTGGTAGCTTGGGGGTGTGGGGGGGAGGCACCCCGTCCTGGCTTGGGCTCTGGCTCCGCTCCATGAGTTTTGCTGTAAGGTCTGGGTACGGGAGAAGCCTTTGCCCTCAGGATCTCCAGGCCCCGAGCCCCGCCGGGGGGCACCTCAGAGCCCTAGGGGAGTCCTCCTGGGCCCGGACTTCTCGCGGTCGCCGCCAGCCTGGGCGCCGCTCCCGCCACGCCCGCTCATAGAGGCTCGCAGACCTGGCTTCGACCTTTCGCAAACCCGCCTGGCTCGGAAACTTTCTGCGTCTCTTGTTTCTTTAGCGGCGGGGAGCATGGTCTGCGGGCGAGCCGGGAGCGGCGGGGACTGCGGCGCGGCCACAGGAGGGCGCTCCAGCACGTGGGTGCGGGCTCGGCCGGGGCTCCGGGTCCTGCCGCTGCAGGGCGGGCGGGGGGCGGGGGCTCGTCCTCCACCCGCTGCTCCTGTTCTTCTTCAGATCCCCCCGAAGCAGCAAGTTCCATAATTCAGGAAATGATGACTCAGTGAGGATTATTCAGGCCCCGGCTTCCCTTTCTTCCCCCTTGCCTCCCCTACCTTTTTGGTGCTTTCACAATTGCTTAGCGCCTGTCCAGGGACATCAAGGAAGCGTGAAGCCAATCAGGGAAATTTGAAACTCACTAGGGTGATTTAGTGTGCCATAGAAACCGGCGAGCCAAACCGTATTTATACGTAAATACAGAGCATTTAATTTATCAGATATGTTATTGAGTCATTACCTTATGGAAGGGGATAGGTGCTTTCGGAAAGAAAAAGATATTTAACCGATGAAACGGTTGTGCTCCCGAGGGGCTATCTTAATCTGTCATCCGGGTCAAGTGTTAAGGCAAGACCCAAGTACAATCCAAGGCAAGATCAAAGTAGTTCCGAGTTGACAAAACATACATCCCAGGAACACTGGCTCCCCAAGAGAAAGGTCAGCCCCCACCAGGATGATCAACCTAGCGTTCCTTCTTGCTTGGCGTTTGAGGAGGTAACATTGGAGTAGAGTCTTGAAGGATGGAAGCCACGTGGGTAGGCAGAGTTTTGGGGGTGCATTCCGACCATGTAAATCCAGGAGAAGCACACAGCTGTGCGGGGAGTCGGGGAGGCAAATGAGTGACCCTGGCTAACCAGAGTATTTCTAGAAAACGTTGAGCTCTTCCCACTCCCTGGGCAGCTGATCTGGAGCAGTTCAGCCTGGAGGTGCTTGCGCTTCTTCATCTCTCCCCGGTGACTTTATTTATTGAGAGGAGTTTGGAATCTAGGGGTAATGTCGGTACTGCATGAAATATCCCCCAAACGGAGGTGATAGTCAAGAAAATAACCAGTTCTAGAATCTTCTTACTACCCTCAGAATCTTTTTCTTCTCTTTATTCTGGTTGGTTTTCTTCACAAGCTTCCTGAACATTCAGGCACAGCTCTTAAGCAACTTATTTATCTATGCTACTAAAATACCCACCACTTCAGGGTGAAGTAATCACTTTTGAATGTACAGGTGGAGGCCCTTTCTTTTTTTTTCAGAGGCCCTTTCTTAATTGGCAAATGAAATCAGGCTCCACCTGTAATAGAATGTATAATTATGATTTAATTAATGTGTAATTCATTTGGACTAAAGCATGATTCAGTTTCTTAAAAAGTTGTATTTTGTAGTTTTCCACTTGGTTAGAGAAGTGGGGGGACAGTTTAGATTGATAGAGATTTCAAACTGATAGGATTTCAGATTTTCCAAGCCAGATGATGGGTGAGGAAATAGGCCCAGTGCACCAGAGGTTGGATCCCTGGAGTCTGACTGGTAGTAAACCCCCAGTGTCCACCATCGCCCCGCCCCCCGCCCTTGCACTGTCCTACTGTCCTTAACATTTTTTTTAATTTTTATTTTTTATTTACTTATTTTTTAAGATTTTATTTATTTATTTGACAGAGAGAGAGAGAGAGCACAATGGCAGGGGGAGCGGCAGGGGGAGGGAGAAGCAGGCTTCCTGCCGAGCAGGGAGCCCGATG